TCCGCGAGCACGGGCCATGACTCAGCTTGCCGTGACACTGATGCTGATTAAAAGTTTCGATTTGGGCCCGAGCTTCGACATTTTTGGCACGGCTTCACGCACAAGTTGTACAATGCACGCGCTATGCCTGAACTGTATGTTGATTTCTTTCTCTGAACGGGCGAGGATGAGCCACATGGTGACTCGTGCCTCATCCTCTGCCATATCTCCTATACTTGCTTTTCCAACACCACTCCCGGCCCCGGCCTGACCGCACCGACAGCCTCTGAACTTTGACAAAGTTTCGCAGATCTAGTGGTCGTTGCGCACGGTCCTCCAGTTCACACATGTTCACACTAGTCACAGCCGCATCAGAACTACACCGGGGATAAGGTACGAGGCGTGCGCGATTTGATCGTTGGCCTAGCCTCGTTGACAAACACTCCGAGATCCTTGGATACAGAGTCATACAAGCATTCTGTAACCTTTAGTTTGAAGAGGGAGGATGAAAACGCTGCAGACGACATGCCGTCAGGCTACGAGGCTAAGCCGGCGAAGGCAACGCGAAGCCATGCGATCCGGCCAGAGAACATCCGCATTCTCAGGCAAAGCGAGAGAAAGTTCTGTGGGCCGCAGTTCGGAGAGGTCCAGGCTCTGCAGGCCTTGCCCAAGGGCCAGGGTGTTCTGTTTTACTTCGCGTGCTCAGCTTTGGTCGTTCGGTCCTCCTTCCAATCGGAAGCTCCGAAGGAGCAGCCCCTCGGGTTTCTGCAGCGCGGCGAGCTTCCCAGCACGAAGCTCAAAGGTCCGAAGCTGATCAGTAACCTGCACAAACCATGTCACACTCGTTTGCGCCGTCGGGACTTCGCTTCGCTGTGCGAAACACTCCGACCTCCCAGTCGAAATCAAAGTCACGAAGGGAGGGGCAGTCCGCGACAAAATGCTCCAGGTCAACAGCCTCAGCTGCTCAGTTCAAAACGTCACCTTTGTTCAAGACTTCAGAGGTGCATGAAAACTTGTTCTGCCTCCATGTGGCGCACACCAAGTCTGCGCATAAGAGACGGGCAAACTGGTCTCTGCCAGTCTCCCGAGTTCGGATCACGAGGTATCCGATCAGCTATCCCTCTATCTAGCAAGTCCCGACCGACAGAACAGGCAGCTGGCTCACTTTGGTGCCACTCTGTCTTTGGGCATGAACTCGTCGATGGGTGTTTGGCCACCACCGAAGCCATGTGAATTCCTTTGTCTGCCTGAGCTTGCGCCTTCTTGGTTTCGCCAATGCTTTGGGGCGTCTTCCTCCAGCTTTTGCAATGCTCCCTTGAGGCCTTGGCACAAGGCGCGGCCGGGGCTTCCGGCAGCCAGCTGTGGCACCATACTTTGCTGCAGAGACTGCAAGACCTCCGAGGGCAGGATTCGTGCAAGGCCGTAACCCGTTCGCATCTCCAAGCGCCTTTGGCCTGTCAAGAGCAGGATCAGAAGCCCCGTGTGCAGACGTTGGTCGCCCACGCCCCAAAAGTTCAAGAGAGCAGCAGCGAAGCCCGTTGGTTGCACATCCGCAGCCAAGGAATTCAAAACTACAACGACAGCTTCGGCCTTCCACTCCCGCTGGAGCTTCTCGCACAACTCATTCACTTCTAAGCGGTCGCTGTCGGGCAGAAGCCGGGAGGGATCTGAAACCCATGATGTTTCGACGAGCCGAGGATTCACAACGTCGTGCACGCGGCCTGGTCGAAACATCTCCTGAAGAGCCCCCTGAGGGAGAGCGGTGAACTGCCGAGGCCATCGGGGCCTAATGCATCGGCCGTAGCCACGAGCTACTGCGGCCGTTCTTTGCATGGCGAAAGTGCAACTACACTTGAGCCATCGCTTCAGCATTCAACGTCACATGCCCACCGGCATGTACATGGAGTATGTGGGGCCGGTGCAAACTCTACATGAGTTCCAAAGCGCAGCTGACTCGCACTTCCCTCGCAATAGATGTACGGCAGTTCGGGTTTCAGCGCAGCCAGGAGCAGTACACAGGATGGCGACATGATGGAGGATCGACCATCGACTCTTCCCGATTTTCTATGCTGGCAGCCGGGGTCCATGGAAAGACATGCTTGTGAATTCAGCTTTGAGTTAGATTCAGACCCCGTTCTACTGTTGACAAGACGCGTGGCCAGCTTTGGCAGATGTATGCTGACAGGCAGGCATTGCGACTTGGGGGATCGGGCCAAGCCGACGGCTTGCGAGTGAACGCATCATGTTTCAGCATGCTTGCAATGCAAAGACAGCGAACGACGGGGTGCAAACCAACAGAACATGTAAGGTCAAAGAGTGCGTGCCGTCTTCAAAAACATAAGTGCAGCGAGAAGACACTGAATCTGAGCTTCTGAAGCGAGGGCGTGTGGGATATCGCCACGCTACTTAAGCCTCCATGAGTTTCCACATTCACACCAAAGCAACTCGCGCTAACAACAGAACTTTGACTCTGCTAAGTGCGGCACCTTGCACACGAACATCCAAAACTTTCAGGTGTTGCCGCGCAGAGCAGCTGAGCAGCGCTGAGAAAGCTCTTGCCTGAACAAGTGCATAGGCGGCTAGGCTGGCTAGGCCGAAGCCACAGGTGTGCAATCCATGTGCAGGCGCATGCCAACGCCGCACCTGGCCGCCATGAAGCTCGAGCTTGGTCAAAGGCTCGGGTGTCATGCGCTGTGCACACGGCGCCAGGGCACCCCGGCTGCGCAGATCTCCAGGGAAGTGCAACGCTGAGATTCATCACAGCAACTTCGTCACGCCACCCAGAAAACATCTGAAATCACGACGCTGAAATCGAGGAACCCGGAACCGATCCTTTTTTAGCACAAGTGCATCACACGTCTCGGAACCCAGCCAAGTCACCCAAAAAGATCACGACTTTGGCCCAAAGCTCAGGAACAAGCTCAGGGGATGATCGCTCTGGCACCTGACAAGCGCTGCCACAGCACGCAACCGACCAACTTGCACCTACATGAGTGGACAACCTTGGGCAAACTTCGCGACCGCAACAGTTCCGCCATCCGTGCCTGAGAAACACCGGGGATGATGCATGTTGTGGAAAGAAGACGAGGAGATACGAGGAGGCTGTCTCAGGGGCAAACCCGGAGAATGTCGCGCTTGGCTGCCATAGCAGCCATCGACCCATGTGGTCTACTTGACGGGACAGTGTGGAGGCGTGTGATAGACGACGCAAGTACCGTACCATGGTTGGCTTCGGACTCCTTCCCATTCCAGCTCTTGCAGAGCCAGAAGCAGCAGCTCAAATGAACACGAAATTTCTCTGGAAAACGAAGCACTGCTCATTGACCAAGGGCTTGGCCAAAGTCTGCCATCTTGGCCGTGCCGTGCCTGTCCAACAGGATGTTGGCCTGAGCGGTTGGAATCAAGCACAAGCTACCAGTGCTAAGCTACTGGTACGAGAGACCCACAGGGCATCCTTTCATCAGCTCTCGGATTGCCATGGTAGCATAGCTTGCCCGAGGCAGGCGAAACTCGAGCACCAAAGCCAAGTGCTCCGTCGGCTCTCGGAGCTTTGCCGAGGACAAGGGTCGCATGCTGGAGGCCATCGGCTCATCTTCGAGCATCTGGTCTAGGTCGGTTGAAACGAGACGGGCCTTAGCCTCGGATCTCTCATTTCCAGGATACGCGAGCATTCTCACTGTCAGTTGGGATGGTCGGCAAATAAGCGGGCGATAGCCACCAGGCATTGAAATACCATCCTTGCACTCTGGCTCGGCGAAGACACGGAGGTCAAGGCCCATCTCTCGTAGCACATGGCTGTGCAAATGTTTCGATTCGTTATCCGGCAGTTTGGCTGCAAACCCCAGCACCGGCACAAGCACCTTCGACAACGGTGTACAGGATTCCTCGCCTTGTTTCAGGGGTCTCACCTCTGCTGGCCACACAGAAGCTGCACAGTCATCACTGTTGGCAGCCACCCAATCCCCTTTCAGAACTCTCATGTCTTGCTGTAGTCGAAGGGACACTACCTTGTTCCAGACCTGAGATGCCACGGAGCGACACCACAGGAGACGCAAGTGACGTGGCACGCACTTGATGGCGCCCTTGTAATCGCCAGGGTGTTCGGACAGGTACTGGAGGACCTGACATCCGAAAAACTTCCAGCAACACTTCAACTTGCCACAAAATCAGAAAGGATGAGGGACACAACGGCATATCATGGATTTCAGCTTGGTGCTTTGTTCCAGTGAGGTGTATGCTACAAGTTATGACAGCCAACGGGGCCACGCATCGTGTTTCGAAAGCTGACCAATTGCCGAGGGAGCACAGAAGTCTCCAATAGACAGGAAGTCGGAGTCAGAGCGAGAGCTTCACGAAAGTTGCCTCTGCTGGCCTCACAGTACGCTTGGAATGTCGTCCCTCGACGTGCGCGCGAGCCCAAAAGCAGCTCCACCACTTGCTGGAAGTTCTTCTGCAGGAGCGCTACACCCATCTCGGATGAGGGCACGACGCCAGTACCAAAGCGCTGCAGGCCAAAATAGTTTGGGAAGCCAGACTTGAGTGCATCAATGCACATGTCCAGGGTGTCAGACGACACGTCGGTTGTGACACGACGCAGCACGACAGTAAACTCATTGCCACCATGTCCACCCAGCCTTGCTTTGTGTGCTTCGGGGGAGGCATTGCCGACAGCCATGCTGTCGAAAAGGCTCACCTGCGGCTCGTGGACTAGAGCGCTGCTGGGGAAGCTGATCCGCTGCGCCGTAATACCCCAGCGGTCCTTCATGCCGCAAAAGCTGAAGGTTTTGGAAGGCACTTGAAAGGCTCGGGCCAGCTTGGCGATTGCCTCTGGAGTTGTTAGCCTCTGCTTGGCAAGGGTAAACCAAACATGTGCCGAGGGGTCACACTTCTTCGACAACATCAGCAAATCAGCCGGAGTACAGTGTGTAGCCAGCTTCGCTGGTACGTTCCGCACGTCAAGCTCACGCACCAAGAAATCATAAGACTGCTTCTGAAAGTCTCCAGCAAATCCTGGGTGCTTGCCCAAGAAGCTGTTGATTCCAACGTCCCCGGCCTCAAAGCTGCCAGCCTTGTTGGTAATCGGTTTTCTTTGGGCACATCTCAATTGCCACGCGTTTCCTGCTCGACGTGCCATCTGCTCCCACATTCCACAGCCCAGCTCGATGCTCGCGCCCCCCTGCTGGCCCAGGCTCGAGCACCACCGTGTTCAGCAGGGCTTAGGAACCCATGAGGGTTGCACCGCAGTCGAGCCTTAAGGAACCGAAAGGGCTCGCTGATCTCGCTGCTCCCAGATCGACGAATATTGAATATTTCTTTCCAACAAGCGGCTCCGTTTCATACTTCTCAAGAAGCAAGCTACAGCCCTCTTTTTGCAACATTCCTCGTTACTCAGCAACCCGGTCTTGACAACGGCATGCTCCCTCCCGTGGATTCACAACCCTGGAAACTAGCGGCACTCCATGTGAAGGCAGCTGACACAGGATAAGAAGCACACCGACTTGATATCGCGGTGGAATGCCTGCCCCAAGCAGAGGCTACAGCCACGTTTTGAAGATTAGACTCCCTCTGCACCGTTGCATTCTGCCTGTTTCATGCCTTTGGGTTTCATGTCCGGGACCGGATGGCCTTTGGTGTGGCGTTGTGCATGTGGGACAAGCCGCTAGCAGCATCAAGGAGGACACTCAGCCTGTCAAGCGGCGTTACACACAAATGCGCCAACAAAGAGGCTGCAATCAACTGCTTTGCTTGTCGACACCTGTCGTGCCAGGGGAAGCCTTGCTGCCCACAGTGACACTTGTGAAGCCTTTCAGATTGTTTGAGATGCAGCAGCAGGGCCGAAATCCTGCAGGCCTTTGGAACACGTCCCCGCCAGAGAGAAACTCATACCTGGCATGAAGCATCGCTTGCTCGGTTCTGAAGGTTTTCATTGCCAAGGGTCCCGACACGAGGTAACGCTGCAAGCAATGTTGACCCCACCTGGTGATAATACAAAGTGGAAAATGCGGCCGGTGGCTGCAACTGCTGAGGCAGGGGCCCGAGGAGTGTCACCAGATGCGGATGCCTTGCAATTGAACCTAGATACACTCCTGCCGGCCCTGCACGCGTCTTGTCCTTCCCAACCTGAACTTGCTCAGAAGCGTGACTTCGTCTTCGAAGCCTGCATCCTGCACGAGTGTTGCTAAGTCAGGACTTGTGCAAGAACTGCTCACCGGCATGGTAAGCAAGCCTCCGGGCATTCCCCCTTTCCCATCAAGACACTGAGGTCAATTGCCTGTTGACAGCCGCGACTTGCCAGAATTCGGCAAACCGTACGTTGCAGATGACCCAGGCTGGGTTTGCCGGGCCTTGATGGCCACATCTGAGCCGTCCTGGCAGCTTCAGCACTCATTCTCTCCCTCTCTCTCTCTCTCTTTCTCTCCCTCTTCCTTTCTCAGTCTTCACTTCACTTCACTCCGGGGCTCAGGGAGCTGGTCAAGCTCCGCGATGCTCCGCGCGCCGACAGGCGCGCCCCCGTTCAGGGCTCTGTAGATTGGGGTTGAAAGCGGCAGTCCCAACCACTAACCGTTCAAAAGATCTGGCATCCCTGTCAGTGTCAAAGGAGGCCAGCATAAAGCTTCGGTTGCTACCTTTCCCAATCTCTCTCTGTTCTCCGGTGCAGGGAACGGGTCAGGTTCCCCGCGCCGTAAGGTGCGCCCCCTGTTGATGGGCCTTGTGCGGGAAAGAACCTATGCTTGCCACAACAGATACCTCTCTCTCTCTCTCTCTCTCTTTCTCTCTCTACCAGGACAAAGGGAAAGGACGGACGCCCAATCCGGGACGCGCATTTGCGAATCACTTGCGAAGCAGGGTTTTGAGAATTCGCTTCACTTCCCTTCCCTTCGCTTCACTTCACTTCGGGGCGTGGGAGATTGGTAAGGACTCCCAGGCCGACAGGCCCACCCCCGTTAAGGGGCTCGGGGGACGTCAGAAAACAAACGCTTCCCCGAACTGTTAAAGAATGCCATTCTCTCCTCCGTACCCCCCTCGCGCGCGAACGCGCACCCGCGAGTCTTTGGCGGATAGAATCCCCCGAGGGTGTTTTGCCCCCGGAGGCTCGGCTGTACAACCAGCCGCAGGTATGATCTCCCTCCAACGGAAACAAGAAAGGCTCGCTCAAGTTGATGGGATCACCCCTGATCGCACACCTTACTGTAACAAAGCACAACAAAAGTCAGCTAAGGCTACGGTCCTAGCCAATATCACGCAGAAACCACAGGACTGCAGTTTGGTGTGTCTTGGCTAATGCATATGCCTAGCAGCTCCCCCTTGACTGATTGAGCAGAAATATGAGTGAACATCACAGTGTAATCTGGGCATATAGCATGCTAAAGGAACTCTCTCTCTCTCTCTCTCGCAGGAAAGGGAGGAGGGGCGGACACCAAACCCCTCGCACAGGAACGCACACCTGTGGTCCAAAGGTTCTTGACCTCCACCGGAGGATGTTCCTCTAGCGGCTTGGCCGGACAGAACTTCGTTCCCCCAAACAACTCTTTCTCTCTCTGCCTCCGCTTAGCCACATTGACATACGTGGGCCACAATGCTGCATTCTGTACGGCACGGTCCTTTAACTCGCCACGGTACACGGATCCATAACAGCCGGAGCCTTTGCCGCAAGCTCAACTTCCCAACTTTCGGAGCACGGCTTGAAGTTGCAGACAAAACACACACACACACACACACACACGCACACACACACACACACGCACACACGCACACACCAGCACACACCAGCACACAAACACACACACACACACACAACCCCACGCAAGCCCGCAGCCTAAGCGCTTCGAGACGTGAAAGCTGGAGGTTGCCTGGCAGGAGACTGGAACTTCGGACCATGCATGTCACACAACTTGGCACAATAATGCTCTTGCTCTTCTTGCTAACAAACAGCCTATACAAGAACTTTCTCATCGCGACGGACACATCTGCCTTCTGCAGGCTTTTGACTGCTGGTCCGAATCTTCTTGGGCATCGTATTGAAAGCCCGCTGCCCTCGAGCACAAGTTGTCAGAAGGCAGCAAAGGGTCAGCAGCCTCGCGGCCGACAGGTTTGCGCTACAGTATCAACCACCGCTTGCATTCAAAGGCTGCCCCGGTGCTATTTGCAACCGGTGCAGCCCAGGCTAACTCAAACCCGAAAACCGATGACTCAGCTATTCCGAGCAGCGGCGAAAGGGCCCATCACGAACATGGCTCAGCTGAGGGCGTGCAAACCTCTCTGCGATCGAATCGGGCCCTGCCCTGCTGCCCTGCAGCTGTAACTCGGCTCCTGACCCCCTGCGCCAAGCAGACAACCATAACCTTTCCATCAGCTGGAAACAAGATGCGTCGATCGCGGCATTGGGCAACGCTTGCTCGGTGCCTGTGACAGTGCTCGTCTTGACGGCACCGCCTGCTGCAGTTCAGCGACCTTAGTGAGCAAAGCCAAGGGTGCACTTCGAGATCGTGTCAACTCATCCACTTCAAAACGATTTCTCACCAGTACTGATATCTAATGCCAGACATGGCAAGATCCTGGCCAAACGGCGCGCTGGAATGCTGTCCTCCATGACGACCGTAACCCAGTAGGGTTGTGTCGTGACTGAACATGACTCGAGTCCTGCGACTCCGCCCACGTAGATGCAGCAGCTTGAGCACCTGACGGTCTGACAGGTGCTCATCTTGATAGGGTTTCATGACGCGGTAGCTGCATTGCAGGAAGTCCGCCTGACACATTGCCTTTGAGTACCGCCTTAGACAAGTGTTTGCTTTCTTCTTCTCTCTTCTGCCCAATGTTTCAGCGACAGATGCGGACCTGTAGAAGTCCACGCCCTACTCGCTGCGCTTTGCATCTGCCAAGTAAGGAGCTTGCGCACACAGCCTGAGCGGCAAGAACCTGGACTGATGCAGCTGCAACCACGAACTTGTGCGTCATGCAGGGCTCCACATCGCGAACATGAAACCAATCTGAGGTGGTCCACTCTGTGTGGCTCCACCTGGCTAGCTTCATCCAGCCGGTCCGAGGCATCCTCCAAAGCCTGGAAAGGGCACAGAGACGATACGAAGTTCAGATCAGGATGCGGCCCCCGTCCCACATTCCAAATGGCTTTCGGAAGAGCTGCTTTTGTCTTGTCTAGCCCGAGCTTGAGAACTAAGCCTGGAGTCATCAATCAAGCATTGTGTTTGCTGTCATGCCAGGAATTTAAAACAGTCAGAGTCACTTCTTGCCCTTGCAAGAAGGTCTTACTTACCAGAAAATCACGGAGGTACAGAGTCAATTGACTCGCCTCAGTGCGTACACCCGCGTCGGGCAGCGGGAGTCTGCTACCAGTACAGTGCAACTTTCGCCGCCAGGGGCCGCAGGAATTCTGCAACCAACAAGACGGCTGCTGCGGTGACGTAGTTGCTACCACTTCCAGGTGCAAACCATTCGGCTTTCACTCGGCCTCATGCCGGCTGCTGCTCCCAGTCCTGCTCAGGAGAGACTCAGTTGGACATACTCCAATCATTTCACAGGCTTCTCCTGATCTGTCTGGCCACGAGCTGCCACCGAGCTGATGTCGGCATGGAGTCAACACTCGGGACAGTCTGAAGGCTGGGGACGGTCGGCACTATTTGATTTCGCCGACCTGCATGTGCGCAGATCTGAGCGAAAGAAGAAAGTTAGCTCGACCTGCGACGTGATGCAGATGTTATTGACCCCGAGTTTTCTCGACACGAGCATGTCATGAGATTAGCCTATTTGAGCCGATGCCTTTCTGTTCAGACACGTGTGCCATTAGCTCCGGACTTCTGTAAATACGGATCAGCTCCTCGGTGTTGCTCGGGGCCAAAAACCAGCGGAGGCTACGCAATGTCAGAAGCCAATGGGTTGCCAAGACTCGTGGTACAGCTCCCACTCGGCTTTCAAGTTCCCTTGAACTCGCGCCAGGTAGATGCCATCGCAGAGATCCAACAGCAAGTCCGTGTTGGACACCTCCTGGAAAAGGTGGACAGCTTGTGCAATCCAAGCAGCTGGCTCATATCCTGCAGCGGCCATCGCACTTACTTGAGCGGACTTACGCGGCGGCTCCTCGTACACCATTCTCTTCGAACTGTCTTTGAAGATCGTCCGAAACAGGTTTCCCACGGTTAGGACGACTCCGAGGTACAGCCCATTGATCGACCACCTTTTAAAGACATCTCCGCACGCTTCATCTTGCCAGTCTTTCTGTAGTCTAGCGGGTTCTACGATCTTCTACTGCTCAACCCGCAGAATGGTGCCGCTGCTTGCATGGTTTCCGAACAATATCAATATCGATATCACGCTAAGCTGTCAGCAAGTCTTTCATGGCCTGGCTTTGTTGGCAGCGAGGTGAGCCGATTGTGCCCTAAAGCTGCTAAGGTACAGTTTGGAGTCCTTTTCGGAAGAACCAGGGCCACTGGCGATGTGATTGCTGGCAACGCTGCACACGAGCTCACCAGGATTCGAAGCGCTTGTCCTGTTTGAAGCCACAGACCTGGCTCCACGAAGTGCGCAGCAAAATCTCGGTCTTCAACAAAGCACTCTTTCTTCATTCTATCGCTCTTTCCTTCTGTTTCCTTCTAAAATGAAACACAGGGCACAAGAGGAATATTGTTTTTAAGCTGGAGTCACAAGACGCCTAATTAATTTCATTGTGTAAGACCTTGAATTGGGAGCAAGGAAACGAATTAAGCAAACGAAAAGCATGCATTCTGCATATCTTTCCGTGTTCTGCAAGGTTTGTCTCTTGACAATCATCGGTTGACCGTTGATTTCTGGTTCGTCAAGGATAACATGTTCTTGAATCCCACGACCTCCTGTGAAAGATTCTGACGGCACCTCCATGTCGGCTCATTATTTCGTTCCTGTCCTGCAATATTTTCCTTGCTATCATTTAAATTACAGTAGCAGTAAGGTGAGAGACAATGACCCTATAATTTAGTTTGTTTGACTCCCTTTCTTGCATCGTTCGGATTTCCTTTGTTACTCTTCTTCGTACTTGCATGTTACGTCATTTCAACAGACGAACGTAAGTGCTCTCTTTCTGTTCAAAAGAGAGAGACACAACTCAATGTAGCGAAACTAAACATTCCCTGGGTGAAGGGAGCGCCGTGAAATTCGTAAAGAGCTGAATTGGGGACGAAACAGATGGCATTAGCATTCATGTTAATCCCCCTTCTCTTCCTTTCCATTGGCCTTTTCATGAAAGAGTACACCTGGCACGCCAGCCACACTGGACGCACCCCGTGTTGTGGATCCCCGGTAGCGTCACGGGAGCGCGCAGCATCAGCATGACGGCCGTATGTACGGCGAAAGGAGCGGCAAAAATGAAGGAGTTCTAAACTGGCCATATGTACGGCTACCGAGGCCATCTGTGCGGACACCGCCAT